TTTATCTGTAACAGTGAAATAAGCTGTCAAAATAACTGCCTGTCCTCCTGGGAGAAAAAAAAAATTACCTGAATAATTACCACTCCCAGCGTATTTTCCCAACAGAAATATCAAAGAGAGATGATGGTTCGCTTTGCAGTCATTGCCTTGGAAAGAGGAAGGGTTTCACCTCCTTTGCTTGGATAATGTGGATGGGGAAATTGGCTATGTTCATGTAGGAAGAGAAATATGCAGTTTTAGAAAAGGTAAGTGATGAATTAATGAAGAGTTTTTAATTCCAAGCAGAAGGCCCTCTGCCATATGCTAAGGGTACTATTCTGGCCCATTTCCTTTGGTACATTATGTTTTTTTTTTTTTTTAAAGATTTATTTATTTATTTATTTATTTATTTGTTTGTTTGTTTGTTTGTTTATACAGGAACCGGGGTGCAGGGCAGAATTGCGGGAGGGTGAGAGGATTCACCAGAGACAAAGCGGGGAACAGAACAGGCAGACTGACGAAATACACTCTGAGGGGAGCAGCCATGGGGGACCCTTGCCGGCTGGCCAGGATGGAACCGGCGCTGCAGAGGCTGCGGACAGCTTCACAGTGTGGTGCTCAACCGCCTGTGCCACCAGGGGAGGCCGTGGTACATTATGTTTTACTTACAGAATTAATAATAAGGAGCAGGTAAGGGAGAGTGCACTGATAGTCCCAGGCATGAAGCTTAAATCCATATCTCCGCAAAGGAAACTGTAGTCCCGACCACACCACCATTTCTCCCTTCAAGTCAGAAAATGATAAGATGTGAAGATGAGCACAGGCTTAGATAATTGCTATCTCTCCACTGGCAGGGAGTGCGGGGGTCGGGTCACCAGAATAGACTGGAGAAAGGCTGCTGAAGTTCAAATCCTGACTCTGCTACCTACCAGCTGTGTGATATTGGGCCAGTTGCTTAATCTGTCTGTGCTTCACCTTTCCTGTGTGAAATATAGCTCCCTCAAAGGTCAGGACCAAGTACAGTATTTGCTTTACAGCCACGGTATCTTATTGTTGTCTTCCTGACCCTAGACCACTCTGGGTATATGTTTAGAGAACTAGTTATGAGTCCACTGGCTGTTCTGGCCTCAGTTTATCCCCTCTGTGATTCAGGACTAAAAAAGGGGAATTTTGAATCTCTTTCCTAACCCCCTTCAATTGGGCCCTGGTTCTCCCCCCAGAATCTACACCCTGGGCTCCTCTTGCTGAACAAGGGCCCAGAAGGGTTGTTCCTCCACAGGAACCTCCTCTACCTGGAGAGGAAACCTGGGTAGCAGGTGCCTCTTGCCCCCACCGCTTTTCTTTGTATGATGTCTCCCCACGTGTTGCTCTGCTTCCATGCATGGGGAACTAGAACCGGCATCATGAAGAAAATGGGGCCACCCCACTGTGGTCATCTGTCCATTTCACTTCCCCCTAGTTATGGAAAGCACCAGACTTCTGGTGCCAGATGCTACCATCTACCCTGGTTTCCTGGGATCACCTCCCAAATAAACAATCTACATTAGAATCTTTGTCTTGGAGTCTTGGGGAAACCCAAAACAGCTGAGCTAGAGCTTGTTTTCTGGCAGTATCACCAGGGCCTGAAGTAGGTTAGGGTGCTGCAGTGGCTACCCTGCTTTGGGGGTCACAACTACTGCGTCAGCAGCAGCAACCAGGCAGGCACCTGGCAGCAGATGAGAAATGACTGTAAACATTGGCATCTTATGCTAATCTTCATGACTTTTATTTATAGACTCCTCTTTTTCTGAATATTCCTTGCTCCAAGAGGCTTTCAACTGGGAATATTATAAGAAAAGAAGCAAGATACAGAAACAGCACCAAAGAGAATGTTGCTTTATACCATAATTGCTGTGAGCTAGAGGCGGACCATCACACACAGGTGCCACACGGGGTTGAGATTTTCTCACTGGCACCTTTTCCAGGAGGTGACAAGAATGGGATGATGAGAGCAATCTGCCTGTAACAATCACCTACCACTACTCTACACCCCATAATAGCTGTCATAGAGAAAGCAAACAGTAATAAAGGCACATTGCCTTGTCTTTGTGAGATCAAACAATGCTTGGGTGGGTGGAGGGGACCCTTTCATGTCTCCTGAAAAGTCCGTATTTCTGGATACCATTGAACTACCAAGGCTTTTCCTAAGGTAAGGTTAAAAAAATAATTGTGGTTTTGGCTTCCATTTCAAAAAGGGAACAAACTGCTATTTAAGTTCTGTGAGAGAACAACAGAGACCCTGACGATAGGCAGTGTCTCTGACCCATAGTACAACAGAAGAAAAGTAAAGTCGGGCTATCCATTAATACGCTGTCCTGAATTCAGGAATGGTTGGAGTGGACTGGATAGGCAGGAGGTAGTATTATTTTTTTCTTAATGGCTACTTCAACAGAGATATTCCCAACTAGGAATTGTTCTTGGGGAACATTCTGTAAGATACTTGTCACACTCCAATTAAAAAAACAGATTTATTGTTAAGGGGTAGTAGAATATCAGTTTTCTTCCTCCTGCATTTTGTCTATTGTTGAAAATCTTACAAAAAGAAAAAGTTGGAGGCTGAGAAGAGCTTTTTATAAGTCTGCAGTGGGGAAATATTGCCACTTAAAAATACCATTTTTAAAAGAAAGCAGAGGTGTCAGAGACAAAGAGAAAAGGAGGGAGATGTGTCAGTCAGTCAATAGTATTTATTGAACACTCACTGTGTGGGGAGAACACAAAGGGCATAACACACTTGGTACTTGTTCTCCAGGAGCTTGGAAACTGATGGAATGACAAGCGCTAACACAAGAAAACACTTCTGTTAAAGTTCCCTCTGACTAATTGCAGCTTTTAAAGAGGCGTGTGTGTGTGTGTGTGTGTGTGTGTGTGTCTGTGTGTGTGTGTCTGTCTGTGTAAGAGAGAGAGATACAGAGACAGAGACAGAGAGAGAGAGAGAAAAGAGCACATTTAAAAAGATCTCAAAAGTAAGAAATAGGCATGGTAATGAAATCAGAGAATAAACGCCACTGAACACTGGAGAAATGATACAGGAATACAAATTATCCTGTAGCACTTTTGTCTTTCAGTTGACTCTTCTCTGAGTGTAAATCAGAAGTGGAAATATAACACAGGATACCTTTCTTGTCACTGGGACATGGAGTAACTGGCATCCTACCATGTCTGATAGCTACCGCTTCAAAGATACGCATCATATGTATTACTGTTCCACCTCAAGGAAGTGATTTGACTTGAAAATGCAGTGACAGGGAGCCATATTGGGGAACAGAAATTGTTTACATAATTGCTTGGTCTGTTGGTGAATTTAGACCTTCATTTAGAATTCATTATTTTATAAACTGCACAAAGGGATTTCCAAGTTGTCAAGCTTAGTTTGTGAAAAATAAAATAAAAAGATATGATAAAATGTCTGGCACAAGCTTTTCTGACTTTAATTTTTTTTTTCCTGCCTACTATTCATCTTCCCAGTCATAGCGGGTACTCCATCAGCGGTGATAGCTGCTATTTTCTCTGGATTTAGATCAAACAACCTCAGAACATCCATCAGGGCCATTTTTACATCCTTTCTCCTTTGATGCCAAACCCCAAAGATTCCCCATCATGTACAGTCTGCAAGTTGTTGGACTGACAAGCATTAGTAACCTTGGAATGTCACCCAGACACCAGCTTTCATCCCGGAGGAGGCTAATGAATTTTGCTGCAACCAACTTGGTCTTGAAATGATTTTTCTTTAGGTCACCTTTCATAGTTAAAATAGTTTGCTTTCTTATAGTTTACTTTTTGTCTGCTGAGTTACAGTGGCAGAGAAGAGTGAGCCCAAGGATAAAAATCCAGCGTACAATAGTCTAATCTCTACTTTAACACTGTTTATTTTTTAATCCTCTGGGCAAAACTCATTTCTCATAGTGTCCTCATCTGCTAAATACGATTATAAAATTGTAGTCCACAATGTAGAATTTTCAACTTTTAAAGCATAACATCTCCTTAAAAAATGAATACATACAATATGCATACATTTAATATATTTTTAATGTGTGTGCATAGACACACACAGATATCCAATGTGTAATTAATTATGCATGTGGCATACCTTAAAGGAGAAAATGCAGAATGATGGAAAAAAAAACTTAATATGACTTTCAATGAATTTGTATTTTATTAAGCACATTAGTAACTCTACATATGCTTTCACAGGCTAGTACACACAGGTGTTAGATATATCACTTGTCAATGTAATATTGTCATTCATAAAAACCTGTTTCTTAAGGGATAAGGGGTATATATATATATATATATATATATATATATATATATGCATTGTGGATTCATTTTTTCCAAAACTAAATTGCATAGACTGTTAAATTAAGTGTATAATAATATGAAAACTTTTGCCTGTTATCCAAAATAACTGAGTCCCACAGGCTTAAGAATCACTGCTCTTGGGCTATAATACGCAGTAACTGTTATTTCTGGGTCTGTAATTTGCTCAAGTAGACAAGAGTGTGGCCCGCGTCAAGTGTTCAAACGCAGGTTTCATGCAAATATGTAATTAATATTTGTTGAAAACTAACCACATGCATTTCACTGTGTTTACACACACATGGTTTAGGGCAGAGTAGGCCTTCACATTTTCAAAACAAAATAAAAGAATATAGGTAACCTAAGGTGTTTTTTTTTTCCCTAGTGTATGAGATCTAGTGGCCTTACCCAAATAACTGAATCTCTTCACTAGCTCCTGTCCTCACCAGCATAATAGACCTCTAGACTCTAGAATAACCCACCCACCCGGGTATTCCTCTTGGCATCTCACATGCGCTTTGTCCTTTCCTGTTCTCCAGGGGCGCCCACAGATCCACTTGAGGGCGCCCGCGCCCGCCAGGAGAAGCGCGCTCGCCCTGGGCTTCCGAAGCAGCAAACAGGTCACCCGGGGAATCGTCCTGTTCCCGGCGGGGCTTCTCAGCGATGCGCCACCGCCTTTGTCACAGGAGGAGGGGGAAGAGAGGATGCCTCTCTGTCCCATTTTATCAGGTAGGCATCCAAAGAGCAGTTGTCTCACCTAACCCCGCGAGAAAACAGCTCCCCCAACTTTGCCTGCAGGAACCTGCGGGAGCTCAAGAGGAGCCTTTGTCTGAAAGGTAGGACCTCTCAAACTTTATTGTGTCTGAATCTCCTGGTAATCTTGTTAAAATGCAAATTTTTAGTTAAGCTGCTCTGGGGCCTGTGATTCTCAATTTTCCAGGGCCAAACTGGGCATAAAATTTGAGGGGACAACAAAAAACTTCTCAGAAATCAAGGCAAAAACATTCCAAATGCAATACTAACAATATTTAACACATTATTTTAAAAACATTTATTAATAATTAAATTATATTGGCGCAATTGCTATTGCTTTATTTCTATTAACATTTAATTAATGCAATATTGATAAATGGAGTGCAGAATTTTGAAAAATCCAAATTAAAACAAAAAAATGCATAATGAGTAAAATATCCAAATTTTAAATGCAGGACTAAAGATCCCAAATGATGTTGATCAAACCACATCTTCAGCACCATGATCCCACAGTCATAAACGTTTTAATTTGCTGGGTGAGGCCATGGCACCATTCTACCAATTGTGCTTCAATCTGCTAAATTGGGCACATGCTGGGACCACTGTTACCTATACAACATCTTAATCTCACAGCAATTGTGTGAAGTCATCATCAGTGAGGAAATTTATAATCCAAAGCAATGGTTTTCAACTGGGGGGTAGGTGGAGGAACAATTTTGTGTACCTGGGGAGATTTTGCAATGCCTAGACACACTTTGAGTTGTCACAAAATCTGATGTGTCTCATGGCATTTGATAGGGAGACACCAGCATGCTACCAAACTCATAGGATGCATAGGACAACTCCCACAACAAAGAATTATCTGGTAGAAAATGTCAGTTGTGCCAAGGTTGGGAAGCCCTGCTCTATAAATAATGGATATCACATAAAGATTATACCACAGATAATAGATGTAACTGAACTTGAACTCCAAGTTTTCTGACTCTCAAGTTTTTTCTATTCACCATCTTTCTTCAGAAAGAAAGCATTTGTTTCTAAGCCTAATATGTATAAAGGTACAATAAGAAAACAAATATTCCAGAATTCTGAGGGGAAAGTCATTAGATGACAAGTTGAAAAGGGTAGGAGTTGCTACATATTATTTAGAGTTCATTATGGATTTATTTATTTATTTTAAATCTAGGTAGTCTTCATTCTTTTTTTTTTTAAACACTGATTAGCATTTTTATTTTTTTAAGATTCATTTGTTTATTTATACAAGCACTGGGTACAATCAGAAGCACAGGAGGGTGAGAGAATTCTCTGGAGCCAGAGCGGGGAACAGAACAGGCAGACCGACGAAATACACTGCTGAGGGGAGCAGTGGGCGCCGCAGGAGAGGTCTGCGCGCCATGTGGGACACTTGCCCAGGGGCCGGGGATAGAACCGGCGCTGCGGAGGCTGCGGGCAGCTTCGCAACCCAGTGCTCAACCGCTGTGCCACCGGGGAGGCCCATTCATTCTTTTTAAATATATATATATATATATTTATTTATTTATGCATACAAAAGCCGAGTGTAGGGCAGAGGTGCAGGGGTTGGGGTGAGAAGATTCACCAGAGACAGAGTGGGGAGCAATACAGGCAGATCTAGTGAAACACACTGCTAAGGGGAGCAGCGGGTTAGACAGAAGAGGTCTGCTGCATCATGTGGATTAGCTCCCTGGCTGGGATTTGAACTTGTGTTTTAAAGGCTGCTGATAGCTTTATAGTGCTGAGACTTAATCCCTTGCGCCACCAGGGAGGTCCTTAATGATTTAAACCATTACAGGAAGTTGGCTTCAACTATGTTTAATGAAAGTAGATCTTAAACCACATTATCTGGTATGGAATTGCAAAATTTAATTTATTCTTAAATTTTGTAGCATCTTAGATATGAAACCAGTAGAAATTCATTTACTTTCTAAAAATTTTCTTTCAGTTAATTCATAATATCAGATACACAAACAAATGCCTAGAAACATTTAAATGTGGGTTATAAGAATTAATGAAATGTCAATATAATACTTTCACCCATGATAGGATTGTACCTTACTCTGAATCCCTTGTGATAACAACTATTCTAAGGTATAAAATAACAATAAATGGTTTTAAAGAATCTGTAGGGTAAAGAAAATATCAGGCTTTTCTGCCCTCCCACCATCAGGATAGATGATGGATCCTTGTCCTGAATGCATGCCTGATGGCGGGCACCTGGACTAGGGTGTGGGCATAGGTAGATGGGATTCAGCTGAGTTAAGACTGTGCTTTTTAAGGGCGGCGTCACGGGGATGCCAGCAGCAGCAGTAGAAGCCGAAGCCGAAGCAGAAAGAGAAGCCGAGAAGCAGCAGAAAGAACGCCAGAGAGCCCAGATAGAGTGAAGACTTGCTGGGGGCTGGGAGGCCTGCCAGCCTCCCAGCCCCCCCAGCCAGCACCCCTGCCTGCCATATGCCTGGTGAACCCCAATAAAGGACCTGCAAAACCACTGAGGACTCTGACTCTTCCTTTACCCGGTCTGCATGGGATCAGAAAACCTGCACTGTGTCCAGTCCAGCCCTTTACAGAATCAAAGTAAAAATTTGAACAAAAAGTGGGGGAAAAACTATATTAGTAAATAATTATTGCAGAGCTGTGAATTGTTTGCCTGTTGTCTTTTAGCTCTAAGACCACCTTTCCCTGTTATGTGGTGCTAGGCTAGGATTCTACAAAATACATTTCCCTGACTTCCTTGTTGGTTACCTTCTGTTAGATTCCTGAATGGAAATAGACAGGAGACTGTAAGGCAGATGGAAAAGAAAAGGTAGTTCTGTCTTAGTCCCTAGCAGCTGCACAGCCTCCAGTTTTTTATTGACACTCCCAACAACCCCATGTTTTATTCACCCTTGGGGGCCAACAGCAGCAATGGGTGTGGTTGGGGTTTCCCCTAAGCCCAGAGTTGCTGATAACCTCTAGCAGTTTTTAATACAGGTTTCCCCTGCTAAACAAAAGCTTACTGTTTCTATTTGCTATGATTTGGTAGGTTATTTTTTGAGTCTGGGAATGCTAAAAAGATTCCAGATACATTAATGGCAATAGCTTTTCCACACCCAGAAAATAAACTACCAGATCCTATCCAATAGGAATGTTCTACCTTCTGATCGTGAGGGAAACCTGTATTAGAGCTATATCAGCATTTCCAATTTTCTTTTACAGACTTGAAATTTTTGTGATAATAAGTCCCTGTATGAAATTCTCTCTGCTTGAAATACCTATTCTGGCTTCTGTTTTCCTGATGGAAACCTAGATATAAGACATGATAGCAATTAAAAAAAATAGAATATAGACAATATAACATCAAAACGCAAGCAAGGGTGTTGATTACACCTTTTCATATGCAGCTTTTCAGGCAAGAGTTCTCTAGTGATCCTCCTAGAAATAGCAAATTTAAAACATTACATTGCATGGTTGGTTGCAACAAAATAGGTGCTCATAAAAGGGGGATATTTCTTTGCCATTCAAGCTTTCTTTTTTACCAGTCAGAGGAAGTCGAAGATTGGGCAGATCAAAATTATTTTAAAAAAGATTCCAGCTGTTTGGCCAAAAGTAGCACTGTCTGCAATGTATTTCCATAATATATCTCAACCAGATGTTAACTAAAGTTTTTTCCTTTTTAAAGAGCAATGATGCCTATCCAAGAGAAACCCTTTAATCATCCATTCTCCCTTTGGGAAGTTACTGCTCGCAAATGCTGAGGGCCCAAATGATCTTGTATGAATAGATATAAGTGACTATGTGAAACCTACATTATTCTACTTCTTTCTGTTTATTTTTACAAATACTTCTCAGTTTTTCTGTACATCCCGGATGTTAAGTCTTAAAGAAATTTGAATATTTTGGCAGCCTGGTTTCAGTCATCTAAATTATGCTATATCATAACTGTGAATGTTTTCCCTAAAACACAGAATCCTAGGACTGGTGAAATTTTGAATATTCCAACAATCATTTTATTCTGTACAAATGTAGCAGTTAGTAATTTTATACCATTTTCAATGACATTTGGTATGTAGGTAGTAGATAAATGTATCTGTATCTTTATAAAGCTAGTTAGACATCTTACAAAATATAGTACCTTATTGTTCATGTTATTCATGTTAGAGGAAAATGTTTTCTAGACTTCATTCACATGATCACATTGAGTGAGGTCAATAGTTAATAGAACTATTTTATGACCACTCTGCAGATTACCAGTGGTCTAGCACCATGAACAATACAGTGAATACAAACCAATATCTTGGATACTAACAGGGGTAACAAGGGATCATAAAATATGGAACCCTACTTCATTTGTTAAGTATCTTTATTGGTCACTATCAGGGAGATGATGGGATAATCATTTGTCTTTAAATCAGTGTGATAAATTTTATAAATACATGCCCTGTGGAGAGCTATTTGTGCTGCACTGAGACATGCTTATGCAACAGATAATTTATGGAAAAGAGGCCTTGTGGAAGTTAGGGAAATAATTACAGTGACCTCTGGCATTGGTCTGTTATCTTACTTGGTCTAAGTTCCTTCCAAGAGAACAAAGCCTGAGATCTAGACTTTTGTCCAGGTGGTTTACTTTGGAAGTGATGCCAGGGAACAGATGTGAAGGAGCAGGGACATGAAAACAGGAAGGTGGAGAAGAAAAATCAAGAGTCTGTCATTGACTTCGTTACCACTGTGGGCATGGAGCTCTTCCCCTGGTATCTGCTGAGTGGCCAAATAGAGTGGTCCACCCAAAAGGCCATGGGGAGAAATACTTCTCCATTAGCTCTAGAGAATCTTTATCTTTTTGGTTGCAACTTGCCCATTGGGAGTTAACTAATGCCTGCTTCTAAGACCATAGTGTCACGTTCCACAGCATAAGGAGCCAAAAGTGAGAAAAGTGGCACTTTCAACAACAAATGGGTCAGAGCTTGCACAAGCCATGTCTATAAAAGGAAGAAAGACCAAGAGGACAAGAGGCAGTGCCCAAGGGGAGTCTCACAGGGCTAAAGTCTAGAGTAGGGTTTAAGCATGAAATCTTCAACAAAAGAGATTTGACCTT